TGCTACAAGTTCTTCAAATACCTATAGAATGATAGGTTTATTTTTTGTGAGTGTAAAACACTTAAATATATGTTGTTCTCATTCCACTCAATAATTACAACGTTTATCTGTATAATTAACCCCTTTTTTAGAAGTCATTGATAAAAGGAAGGAGAACATCTTCGAGAAGCCTCAAGAAACTAAGATGAAAAGCAGACGGCCGGTTATCTTAAAGGTTGGCAAAGCCATGCAAGCATACCAGACTGGCATAAATGAAACCGAGGGTTTGGGTAATACTGTTTTCGAAAATGCACATGTTACCTCACTTTTTGATTTAGAAACTGACAACGAACAATACTTAGAGATACAGGATTGTTTTTCGAAGAAAAAGCTGGAATCAGACAACCACGAAGCGTTTCTATCCAACGCCGTTCCAGATACCATGACTCTGTGTATCGACATTAATGACCCACTCTTGAGTATGTTTCCAAGCGTTTTTATGACGATGAAAGAAACAGTGAGCTCTGATGATAAGGAGGTACAACTTTTGTTTATTCATATTGAAAATTGTTTTAATATAACATACTGAACTTTAGAAGTTGCCATTACTCGTTGCATGTGTATTGTTTGTGTTTTCATAAGTATTTATTTTATATAATTTAAACTGTTGTTTTATATTTATGCTCATGTTTTAGCCCATTTTCTTTGATATTACACGTTTAATTATCAAAGCTAACTTCACTGATTTAAAGTACTCTCAATAACATTTAAATGTATTTGTTAGCTAGACCGGCGATCTCAAAATGTTGCTTCTTGTTTAGTAAGATATCTAGAAATATAAGAACTGTAAACAGTCACTTGAGTATTTAATTCCGATAACGTATGCCACGCAATTATGAATAGTGACTGAAAGTGTTTGAAAAATTAGAACTTTGTCCAATAAATATATTTCAGGTGGTGAAAAGTTATCTCATTATAAAAAATATATGTCTTAAAGTCCACGCTCTGCATTTTTTACAGAATTATGAGGTACTAATATCAAAGATCTGTTGTTGTCGTACAGTTTTTCCTAAAAATTGGGTATAGTCCACAGTACCTACCGAATACGGTGGATGAATGGCTAAGATCTCAAATATTATCGTTATGACGGAAATTCGACTTTTGCTGTATATTGTGAATAGGATTATTCTGTACAAACTAAACTACACACTTTTGGTGAAAATTAAAGATCATACTTCCGGGTACAGATTTTGATATGTTCTCATTATTTTCGACTTAGTTGTCACTCTTGTCATTTCTTATTGTAATATTGTATTGTTACGTGTAAAAGTAGCGTTTAATACTTCTGCGCAGAATAATATAACTTAAAGATTATTTTTCATAATATTAGGTATTGTTTTCTACATTTTTGTATGATTTAAAAGGTTCAACTGGGAAATTGCAATTGAGAAGCGTTAATTTAACTGCAAAATATACGGTACGTTAGGCTACCATTACAAGGAACGGAAATTTTCAATGTGGAGTACTGTTTTGTAAATATAGTTTGATGTAGTGTGTGAAAAGGTGCTTATATTAACAAATATACATTCGTAAAAGTCAAAAGCATAAAATACAATATTTATGGGGTTTTTGAGACCTTACTCACCATATAGTAACCTAAATTAATTTAGGTATGTGAATAATATCATAGCATTGCGTCTAATTTATTATTCAATATTCAGGGCTGGCACGACTGAGGGTGCAGCACTTGTATTTTCAAAGAGCGGCAGGTTCATGTGGGCGTAATTGTGTAGTAAGAATTCCTATAACGGCAGAAGAGCGGGTATGGACGGGTGGGCGACACACTCGGCGTGGCCCGGCATGGCCAGGTGGTTAAGGCACTCGACTCGCAATCTGAGGGTCGCGGGTTCGAATCCGTGTCACACCAAACATGTTCGCCCTTTCAGCCGTGGGGGCGTTATAATGTGACGGTCAATCCCACTATTTGTTGGTAAAAGAGTAGCCCAAGAGTTGGCGGTGGGTGGTGATGACTAGCTGCCTTCCCTCTAGTCTTACACTGCTAACTTAGGGACGGCTAGCTCAGATAGCCCTCGTGTAGCTTTGAGCGAAATTCAAAAACAAACACAGTCGGCGTTTGCAAAGGGCAGCAAAACACGTCTCGCCGGCCCTGTCAGTACTATACAAAAGACCAACTGTTTAATGGTTATATTACAGATTTATTTTCTTTTTTACCAAAGGTAAAATCGAAAATATAGTCTGTGTCAGATTATATTTACCATTTTATCTTTGGTAAAAAGAAAAGAGATCTGTAATATAAACATAAAATACAGTTTAAAATGTCTACCAAATTTAGCATTATTATTTGTCAGAAGTATATTCCATGCCAAAAATTATTTTATTTTCATGTATCGTGCCTTAGAGATAAAATCAGAAATAATTATGATGTTCTTGTAGTTGTTTAACTGATTGATCAAAAACATCTGCTGAATTATTTTATAGGATTTAGTTTAGCCATTGTCGTATATTAGTTTTTCTATCATAACAAGACTAAATATATGGCCCGGCATGGCCAGGTGGTTAAGGCACTCGACTCGCAATCAAAGGGTCGCGG